ACGGCAGTCACAGTCACAGCCTCAGCCTCAGCCTCAGCCTCAGCCTGCCTCAGCCTCAGCCTCAGCCTGCCTCAGCCGCAGCCTCAGCCTGCTTTAGCTTCAGCCTCAGTCTGCCTTCAGCCTCGGCCTCAGCCTCAGCCTGCCTCATCCTCAGCCTGCCTCAGCCTCAACATGAGCCTGCCTCAGCATTCAATATGTGGCCCAGGAATGGAGTTCTGGGAACTCGAAGAACAACGAAGCGGCCTACAGTTGGCTCCGGGCATTCAAAATCATGCCCAGGAATAAAATTCTGGGAACTCGAAGAGCACGAAGTGGCCTACAGTTGGCTCCGGGCATCCAAAATGTGGCCCGGGAATGGAATTCTGGGAACTCGAAGACCACGAAGTGGCCTACAGTTGGCTCCGGGCATCCAAAATGTGGACCGGGAATGGAGTTCTGGGAAGTCGAAGACCACGAAGTGGCCTACAGTTGGCTCCGGGCATTCAAAATGTGGCCCGGGAATGGAGTTCTAGCAGCGCCAAGAACGATTTTGCGAGGATGTCCCAAGCGATTTCGGCTTCGGCGGCAGCCGCGGCGGCAGCCGTTCCGGGTCCCGCCCAGACCCCCCTGTGGAGTCATCTGCTGCTCTCTTTTGAGACCACTAGAAACCTATCAGCAAAAGCTGTCAGGTAATTCAAATGAAATCCAGTTGTAGAATTCTGCTGTTCTCGCAGTCGTAGTCGCATTCGCGATGACAGTCGCAGCGGCAACGGCAGTCGCAGTCACAGCCTCAACCTCAGCCTGCCTCAGCCTCAGCCTCAGCCTGCCTCAGCCTCAGCCTGCCTCAGCCTCAGCCTCAGCCTGCTTCAGCCTCAGCCTCAGTCTGCCTTCAGCCTCGGCCTCAGCCTCAGCCTGCCTCAGCCTCAGCCTGCATCAGCCTCAGCCTCAGCCTGCCTCAGCATCAGCCTCAGCCAGCCTCAGCAGTCTGCCTTCAGCCTCAGCCTCAGCCGCCTCAGCCTGCCTCGGCTGCAGCATCAGCCTGCCTCAGCATTCAAAATGTGGCCCGGGAATGGAGTTCTGGGAACTCGAAGAACACGAAGTGGCCTACAGTTGGCTCCGGGCATTCAAAATGTGGCCCGGGAATGGAGTTCTGGGAACTTGAAGAGCACGAAGTGGCCTACAGTTGGCTCCGGGCATCCAAAATGTGGCCCGGGAATGGAGTTCTGGGAAGTCGAAGAGCACGAAGTGGCCTACAGTTGGCTCTGGGCATCCAAAATGTGGCCCGGGAATGGAGTTCTGGGAAGTCGAAGACCACGAAGTGGCCTACAGTTGGCTCCGGGCATTCAGAATGTGGCCCGGGAGTGGAGTTCTGGGAGGTCGAAGAGCAGGAAGTGTGTGACTGTTTCAAAAAAGAGTGCGGCGGCAGCCGCGGCGGCAGCCTGTCCGGGTCCCGCCCCGACCCCCTCTGAGGAGTCATGATGCTCTCTTTTGAGACCACTAGAAACCTATCAGCAAGAGCTGTTAGGTAACAAAAAACATAAGCATAAACTTTTGACGGTCCGTGCGGATTTCTTGGATCTGCGTCAGACCCCCCTTCCCTGGCGTGCGGAACGCGCTAGGGGCGGCGCCGGAGGCGCTCGCCCCAGCGCAGATCCAAGAAATCCGCGTAGAGCGCCGAACGTTATATATATATATATATATATATATATATGACGTTGTTTGTTCTTCCAAATTTTTGAAAGCCTAATTGTCGGGGACTTTTGGGATCTGGGGACCGATCCCTCCACCTCTCCCTCCTCCCCCCTCCGCTCCTCCCACTTCCTAAACCACTACCACTTCCCCACCCTCCCCCCTCACACCCTTCCCGCCCTCCAGCTCTTCCACATCCTGCTCCCTCAGGAGGGGGAGGACGAGGAGGAGATAGGGTCGGAGGGTCGCGCCAACTCGTCGGAGTATTATCGGCGACGTCGCCGGTGCATCCGCGACGTCGGCGCGGAAAACCTCGGGCTCCACGTAGAGTCGCATCGCCGATGCATCGGCGATGCGGCGCGATCCTCCGACCCCATGTGCCTCGACCCCATCTGGGCTCCCGCCCCCCTGGCCTCGAACTTGGGGCGCACGGGCTCCGAGAAGATGAAGTCGCCTACTGCCGGGCGCCCCGGCCACGGGGGGTGGGCGGCGGCGGAAGAGAAACACGCCGCGCCAGCGGGGGGAGGGAGAGGGCCCTCGGGACGCGAAAACGACCGCAACCATTGCTTTTCTTTCGTTGCCGCCTTCCAGCCAGCAGAAACAAAGCAGTGGTTGTGGTCATGTTCGGTAAGCTCGGCATCAGGGAAAGGACCACAACCACTGCTTCTTTTTCGGCCGGCTGGAAGGCGGCACAGACAAGAAGCAGTGGCTGTGGTCATTTTCCCGTCCCGCAGGAAGGGGAGTCGAAGGAAGGGAGGACACGCTATTTGCGCTCGCGCCGCATCTGGCATCGTATCCCTCCCATCCCTTCCCATTGCGAGGATCTTTCTCTATCCGCGGACTCGTGTCATAGCCCACCCGGAGCGCCATTGCCCCAGTAGGCGCCCCGTTAACACCAAAGGTGGTTTGTGGGACCTGTGGGGCCTGCGAGGAGGGAGGGGGGAGGAGGAAGCGAAACGAGGCACGAAGGAAAAAGGGGAGTCTTTTTTGCTCGAGGGCAGAAGCGATAGCCTTCTGACGTGGCTAGCGCCGATACCCTGCAGCCTATAAATCTGCAGGTGCGCGAACGGCAGGCGAATCAGAGGCCGATGCCCTTGTCCTTGCCCTTGCCGACGCGCCCAAGCGGCTCGAAGCCCGACTTACCCACGCCAATGTTGACCATGGCGTAGGAGCCGCGGGGCTTACTCTTGCCACCCTTGCCCAGGCTGGGCTCGTTCTTCATGCAATCGAGGGGAGCGGAAGCAGCCGACGAGTTGTACTCCTTGAGCACGCCCTTGTGTTGCGACTCTCGCGCAACGTCTGTGTCCTGCACCGCCTGGTCAGTCTCGAGCGCCTTCTTGGGAATGGGGTTGTCGATGGTCTCCAGCTCCTTCTGCTTGCCCTCGAAACTCAGGAGGGTAGAGGTCCGCTGGTCCATCAGGTTGAAGGTATCGTGCACCACCTTCTCGATCTTCTCCTTGTCCCCATCCCCGTACTTGTAGCGTGGATTGTCGCAGCCCTGGTCCGAGTCCGTGCAGACAAGGTTGGACCAGTGCTCGTCTTTCTCATCCGAGGGGCCCGCCGTGTCGGACAGCTCGGATTGCTTGCGCCCGCGCCTGCGGCCGCGCTGCCGGCGCCGCATCTCCGCGACCGGCAGGCCAAGGACGCCGGCGCCCTTGCCAATCTCGGCGTGGGCGGCGAGGTTGCGGTCCAGGCGGACCGCGCCTGGGACGGGCTGTCCCGCGACCTGGAGCGAGAGCGCCCGCTCGATCGCCAGGAGCCGCGTCGCCACCTCCTGCTCGCCCGCCTCGTCGAGCGGTGTCTGCTGGACGTCCTGCTGCAGGCCCAGCAGGGAGGCGCCAGTGCGGAGGGCAGCAGCCACGGCCGCAGCCACACTCTGCCGCCCGCCTCCGCCCTCCGCCGCGCCTGCCGCCGCCGCCCGAACCAGTGGGGCGAGGGCCGCCACCAGACCCGCGCTCGGGGGCGAGGGGACCGTAGCCATTGCCAGGGCCGCAGGACGAGGGGACTGAGACAGAGCCGCTCTCTTTGCCCGCCGAGGCGACGGGACTCTACGGAGAGAGACAAGGCGCGCACCTCGCCCGCCTGGCGCCCAAGGCAGGCTTGAGCCAAAATGGCTACGGAAAAAAAGGGGAGTCGAGCAGGATGGGGCCAGGGGAGGAGGCCAGAGGGGAGGGAGATTAGGATTAGGTCGGGCGCGCCCTCCTACGGGCGGAACTGGGACTAAAAATCAAACATAAGCACAACATGCGCAGAAATGTGCAGCGTCGTTCCCCAAACTATCTTCTGACAGTTGTGAAGCATCCCTCCTGCACGAGGACATCCCTCCTTCAGATGAGAAGGCGCGCGACGCTTGCCGCGCGGACAAGCAGTGATCCCCATGCCTTGGGGGCCCGTGGACGTGGCGCTGCCGGAGCTGCGACGCTCGGGGCACGGGCCGCCTGGAGCCTAGCCCCTGCGGCGGCTGCTGGCGCTGGGCACGCGGGTGGTGGTGGTGCGTTTCGGAATAAAACGTTCGTGGCGGAAGGGGGCAGTGGGCGGGGCTCCCACTGGCTGGGGACGCGGGGGGGCTCGGGGCAGCGAGCCACGGCGCGGGGGTTCAGCTCTGGCGCTGGGGACGCGTGTGTGTGTGTGTGTGTGTGTGTGTGTGTGTGTGTGTGTGTGTGTGTGTGTGTGTGTGTGTGTGTGTGGCGGGATAAAACATCCGTAGCGGAGGGGGCAGTGGGCGGGGCTCCCGCTGGGGCGCTGGGGACGCGGGGGGGCTCGGGGCAGCGAGCCACGGAGCGGGGGTCCCACTCTGGCGCTGGGGACGCGTGTGTGTGTGTTGTGTGTGTGTGTGTGTGTGTGTGTGTGTGTGTGTGCATGGCGGGATAAAACATCCGTGGCGGAGGGGGCAGTGGGCGGGGCTCCCGCTGGGGCGCTGGGGACGCGGGGGGGCTCGGGGCAGAGAGCCACGGTGCGGGGGTCCCACTCTGGCGCTGGGGACGCCGGGGGGTGTGTACGACGCGGAATAAGCGTTCGTGGCGGAGGGGGCAGTGGGCGGGGCTCCCGCTGGGGCGCTGGGGGCGCGGGGGGGCTCGGGGCACGCGGGTGGTGGTGGTGCGTTTCGGAATAAAGCGTTCGTGGCGGAAGGGAGCAATGGGCGGGGCTCCCGCTGGGGCGCTGGGGACGCGGGGGGGCTCGGGGCAGAGAGCCACGGCGCGGGGGTCCACGCGGTGGGGCTCCGGGGGTCCCACTCTGGCGCTGGGGACGCGGGGGTGGTGGTGTGCGACGCGGAATAAAGTGGTCGGAGCTCTAGACACCCTGTGCAAGAGAATAACAGATCTTGGTTGCAGGCGTCACCAAACTCACAGCCACCGCTCTGGCCGAGCCCCGCCTGCGCCGAGCCCCCTGTTCCCTACCGTCAGGTCGGGCGTGTCCCCCTGCAGGCGGATTCTGGGCGAGAAATGAACAAGTGCCCAACAAATACTCAGACATAGCCAAGAATAGTAGAACAAATAAAGCGCGGGCGCGGCCGCAAGAAACCCTCGCAAGAAACCCAACCCTGAGAACCCGTGCGCGAGGTGCACCTGAGGGGAAACATGGAGGACCCTGAACGCAGCAGATCTTCCAACGGCTGCGGAAAGTCGTCGCGAAGCGCGAGGAGCGAAGAAACCCAGGGTACCCGAACGAAAAGCAGGTGGTCTCTTGATGCGCGCCCCCACTGTATTGCCCCATACTCTTTTTTTGGACTATTTTTCCATTTTCCCCCTGTAAAGGACTATTTTGTTTTGTGGGGGGGGGGACTATTTGTGGACTTTTATGGGACAAGTTTTGGACCATTTTTTCACCCTCCCTAACTTTGAACTTTTCTCCTGCAAAGGGACAGGCCCGACTTGACCCTGCCGGCATGGGCTCCGCCCGCCGAGGGCCTCCAGCGCGGGCGCGGCCCTGTCGCGGACGGCCACGGCCGCCGCGGGCGGCGCGGCCCCCTCCCGGAGGAAGGCGCTCGGGCCAGAGCCTCAACGCGAGCCCGGCCGCGCCGGCGAGGGCTCTCCAGGACGAGCACTGGGTCTACCAGCCTGGAACATATCCCTATCCCTATGCTGGGCACCTCCTCATCACGAAGCCAATCTTAGGGATTCCCTTATTTTTTGAGGGCGAATACCTAAGATTGTCATCGCCTTTTGGCGTGTCAATATTAGGGATAGGGATACGTTCGAGGCTGGTAATGGGTCTTGCCCGTCCCCCCACGGCAGGAGGAGGTTGGACGAGAGATAAAGCATGCGCCCAACATGCACAACAAACTACCTGAACATCGTCCCCGAACTATGATTCGACTATTCTTGGTGTTCCTCCTGTAGAGGGACATGCCCGACCTAAGACAAGCAGCGGCATCCCGGGAGGTCTGAGGTCGTGCAGAAGTGGAAGTATCGCGCCAAATCGCGACGGGAGCCCTGGCCCCCATCTTCCTGCTGAATTTCTTCCGTGCCAAATCGATATGAAATGGACCCATACCCCGGAACATGGCGAAAACGCCCGCTGTGCTACAATTGCACTGCCCGTACTTCAGAGTCGGTACCCATCGGCCAGAAGAAGTGGGTAGAAGCATGAAGTAGGAAGGCGATGAAAGTAGCTTGGTTTCCCGCCCGCCCCCTCAAGAGAACGCACCAAGAGAAACCATCCGATGATTGAAAAATGGAAAGACAGCTAACGCAGAGTGGAATCTGGGAGTGCAGACATACCCACTGTCAAGGACCGATGGGTAACTACCTTGCCCCCCTCTGTCCCTGGAGGCCTCCCAGATGGCATCCGAGTAGATCGGCTCGGAAAGCCACGCCGTGTATCGCCGATGCAGGGGCGACGCCAGCGGTGCACCGGCCACGCTGGCGTGGAGCAGACCGGGCCCCCTCCCTGACGCGTTCCGCGCGCCAGGGGCGGCGCTGGAGGCGCCGCCAGGGAGGTCCAGCGCGGCTCCGAGACATCCGCGCGGACCTCCGAGTTTTTACGTTCATGTTTCTTCGTGCCCCTGACATCGCCGATGCATCGTCGATGCGGCGCGATCCTCCGACCTCGTCTGCTCGGATCCTACCTGGGAGGCCCAGGCTCCAGGAGGGTTCCAAAAAGGGGGCTTTTGGGGAGGGGGTCTTCCAGGAGGGGCCCCCCCAGGGGCCTCGGAACTTCATCAGAACAGGCCTCGGTGTGAAGCCCCTGGGGGGGGGCCCTCCTGGAGAACCCCTCTCCCCCCACCCCCCCCCCTTTTTAACGGGCGAAGAACGGTATAAGATAAACTGTTTCGCTGTCGGGGGCGCCTGTCCCTGGGCGGCTGGAAAGTTTATACCCTTACGGTGGCACCGTAGGGGTATAAACTTTCCAGCCGCCCAGGGACAGGCGCCCCCGACAGCGAAAAAGTTTATTTTATACCGTTCTTCGCTCGCTGACCTTTGGAACCATCCCCGAGACTCCCTGTCCGCCCGGGGGCTTCGCCAGGCGAGCGCGGCGGCCGCGCCGCGGGCGACCGCGGGTAGCGCCGCTGCACGGGCACCTCGGCGGTGGACAAACCTCCCTTTAGCAAACCTCCCCTCATTGAGGGATGAAAAAACGGCCCTACCCTGGATTACAAGTGCGTAAACCTCCTGGTCTGTAAACCTCCTGGCAAAGCCTATAGCCGCCAGGACGCGGCACATCACGCAGGGTTTACCCTGTCAGCCCACAGGAAATTCAGAGTACAGCGCCTCGTAAACCAGGGTAGGGGCGTTTTTTCTGCTCTTGACCTAAGTGAAAACGGCCTGGGACCGAAAACGGTCCTGGACCCGCAAAAATGCCGGCCGCGACGCCCTCTCGCGAACCGAGAACGGCCAATTCGCGAATCGACGTGTCAGGGTAGGGGGTCTATCGACCTTCGAGCACCGGGTCCACGCCAGGGGCCGCCACGTCGGGGGGCGAGTCTGGGGCGGGCGGCAGCGGGGGCATGTGCCGGAGCTGCCCGGCGCTCAGCCACCCCATGCGCCGCCTGCCGGGGGGGGGGGGTCCGCGTTCGTCTTATCGCCTCGAGCTGGCTGCCGCTGCATGCTGCCAGCCAGGTCCTGTCATTTGGGGTGTAGGTGGTCTCTCTCTCTCTCTCTCTCGCTCTCTCTCTCTCTCTCTCTTTGTCTCTCTCGTTTTTGTTGTTGTCTCTCCGTCTCTCTCTCTCTCTCTTTCTCCCCTCTCATCCACCTCCTTTCTCACATTCCATCCTTCTCTCTCTCTGTTTCTGTGTCTCTCTCTCTCTCTCTATCGTTTCTTGTCGCTCTCTCTTTCACCCTCTCTCTCTACCTCTCTCTCTCTCTCTTTCTTGTTTTCTTTGTTTTTCGTGTATATCTCTCTCTCTCTGTATGTCTCTCTCTCTATATATATATATATATCCATATGCTCTTTTTCGGAGAGACGTGGAACTCGGGTTTTGGGGACTCGGGCTGGACTTACGAGACCATCAGAAAAATGACGAGACCCAATCTGACATTTGACGCGAACTCCCGCTGCACACATCCCACGGAAACTGGACCGTCGAAATTCAGGACGCGCTCGTCAAAAAAAACGTTGGCAAACCCGAGTTCTGGCGCTTTCGAATCGTACGGATCCCGGATGTCGCTCTCTCTCTCTCTCTTTCTCTCGCTCTCCCCCCCTCACGATATATACACATGTATGCCCCCCGTGCATAAAAACGTATCCACAAGCAATGACTGTGCGTATGTATGTATGTTTGTGTGTATATATATATATATATATATATCCGCCGGCCCTCTCTAGGGGCGCAAAGCTGCGAAGCTGTGTTCGGTCTGATGTCATGTGTTCTGTGCCATTTGTTGTTTGGCCTTGTGTTTCTCCAGTCCTGTTTCCTGCCTCCTTTTACCGTCTGCTAGGGGGCTTCGCCGCGCCACCAACCAGCCAACGGGGGGGGTGAACCTCAAATCCTGGCTGCTCCGGGCCACCACAGGATTCTCACGGTGACGCCACCGCGCGACCAGAACGGCCCGAAAGGCCTCCAATATTGCCCGAATAGACTTCGAAGAGAGCCTCAGGAGGCCAAGACGGCCCAGAATGGCTCGAAGATGTCCATCGATGGCCCCAAGACGGCCCAAGATGCTCCCAAAACGGCCCAAGAGGCCTCCAAGAGGCTTCCTAAGAGGGCCCCGCAAAGCAAGCATCAACGATTTCCTAGAGCGTGTTTGAAGGCCTTTGGCCTTCTCGCCTTATCGGCTTTCCGACGCTCCAGGACGGACCAAGGTTTTCAAGATCGCCCCGCGACGGCCCTTGAAACCCCCATGACGGCCCTAGATGCCACCACCGAAGAGAGCCCCATGACGGTCCAAGAGGCCCCCCAGACGGCCCCAAAGGGACCTAATACGGTCCGAAGGGAGTCCCGAAGGGGGAAATACAAATTGAGAACTTGACCTTTCCGCCCCGAGAGGGCCCCAGGAGGCCCCCAGAACATCCCAAGAGGCCCCATGAGGGCCCAAAAGGCATCAAGGAGACACCCAAGAGACCCAAAATGTGCCCCAAGAGGCTCCAAAACGGCTTCCAACAAAAACTCCAACAACGACCCGCAGACGCTGCCGAGAAACCTGCCGCGCGAAGCACCCACGGCGATATCCACGCCGCACGTACTAGTACTAAGGGGCCGGCGGCAGAGGGCGAAGCCCCTTAATCGATGTATAGATTCCCCAATCAATGTTTGCACTGAAGGGGTCCTCGCGGAAATTGAAGGATTTGGCAAGAGTGTCCCGCCGATTTTTGATCGCACGCTGGGTTCCCGGGTTCCCGGTTCCCGGTTCCTTTTTTTTCCGGGTTCCAACCCGATTTCGGAGGGCGGCGAAGTTCCCGGGTTCCCGGGCTCCTGGTCGACATTCTTATCGATCGGTGTCACCATCGATTTCATTGCACACTTCTCTATCGATATCACCATCGACCTCACAATCGATATCATTATTGATCTCACAAGCGATATCACTTGAGATCGCATGAGCGATCTCGCGATCGATCTCACTATCGATCTCATTGAACCGATTTCACTCTCGGTCTCACGATCGACCTTACAATCGTCCTCGCTATCGATTCCACGATGTATCTCATTATCGATGTCACAATCGATCTCAAGATCAATAGTCTTAATCCCACCACCCCTCTGGGCGTCGGTGGTTTAGATAATTTCCTCTTCCACCCCTCCTTCTTCCCCGGAAGGGTTTACCCCTCCCCCTACCCCCTCCCATGGACCTGGACGGGGGGTTCCGCGAGGTGTCGGAGCGTCCAAAACGGCCTCGGCGAGGAAGCCAAAATCATTAGTATCACCATGGTTTTGGCCCCACTTTGGCCTCCTGAGGGGAGGGCCCTAATTGAAGCTCCCCTCTTGTTTGATCGATCTCCTCCAAAATGGCCCCAAGAAACGCCCAGGAGGCCCCAAGAGGCCCCCAGATGGCCCCAAGATGCACCCCAAAGGCCTCCACGAGGCCTCCAAGCGGACCCCAAGCGGCCCCGAGAGGCCTCCCCGAGGCACCCAGGACGCCCACGAGTCCCTCAGGACGGCCCTCTACTCGCCTGGGCTCTGGATGGGCTGGTGGGGACACGCGAAGCGTCTAGAAGTTCCAAATAATCCACTGATTGGGTTTTCTCAGGTGTAATATATATATATATATATATATACATATATGAATTTACACGCATATGTGTATATATCTATACATACCTCTCCCGCTCTCTCCTTCTCTTTCTCTCCTTCTGTCGATTACGCTGTGCACTCCCTATCCAATCCTATCTCTCGACATCTACAGGGGCGGTGAGCCTTTTCCGCAAACCTCGCCAACACAACGGCGTCACCAAACGCCTCGACGGGGCACCGCACTGTATCGAACCCTGGTGTGCCATGGCAGAACGTCGCTTCTCCCGGCATCACATTGAACCGTACTCCAGGCTGCGGCGTTGTGCATTCCACGCAAGAGGCACCTGCCAGCGTGTGTGAGCTCCGAGAAAGTCTTATTCGAAAGAGCGTGTTCTACCGCTGCTGGTGGAAGACCGGGGGGGTTCACTGGAGGTTCCCAACCCGTCCCCCCTCTCCTCCTCGAAAACCGGGGGGGGGGTCACTACCGGTTCGAACCCCCCTCCCGCCCCCTCGCCGCCGGCAAACGATTCCTGCTCCTCGGGACAGTTGGACAGTGGTGGGGATGCTGGGACACCGGTGGGGACGGTGGTGGTGGGGACAGGGGTGTGGGGACAGTGGGACAGTGGTGGGGGCAGCGAAACAGTGGCGGGGACGGTGGTGGTGGGGACAATGGTGAGGGGACAGCGGGACAGTTGTGGGGACAGTTGGGACAGTGGGACAATGGTGGGGGCGGTAGTGGTGGGGACACTGGTGGAGGCGGGGACAGTGGGGACAGTGGTGGGAACAGGGGGCACACTGGTGGGGACAGTGGAACAATGGGGAGACCGTGGTGGGACCAGTGGGGACAGTGGGAGAGTGGTGGGGACTGTGGGACAGTGGTGGGGACGGTGATGGTTGGGACAGTTGTGTGGCGACACTAAGATAGTTGTGGGGACAGTGGGACGGTGGTGGGGACAGTGGTGGTGGGGACAATGTTGAAGGCGGTGGTGAGGGCGGTGGTGGGACAGTAGTACAGTGGGGAGAATAGTGAGGACAGTGGGACAATGGTGGGGACAGTGGGACAGCACAGTGGGACAGAGGCGGGGACAGTGGGGACAGTGGGACAATGGTGGGAACAGCGGTGGGGACAGTGTGGACAGTGGGGAGAGTGGGACCGTGGTGGGGCATTGGTGGGGGCACTGGTGGGGACAGCGGGAACAATGGTGGGACCAGTGGGGACAGTGGGAGAGTGGTGGGGACTGTGGGAAAGTGGTGGGGACGGTGATGGTGGGGACAGTGGTGTGGGGACACTGGGACAGTTGTGGGGACAGTGGGGACAGTGGGACGGTGGTGGGGACAGTGGTGGTGGGGACAGTGGTGAAGGCAGTGGTGGGACAGTAGTACAGTGGGGAGAGTGGTAGGGACAGTGGGGACAGTGGGACAATGGTGGGGACAGTGGGACAGCACAGTGGGACAGAGGCGGGGACAGTGGGGACAGTGGTGGGAGCAGTGGGGACAGTGGGACAGAGGCGGGGATAGTGGGGACAATGGGGACAGTGGGACCGTGGTGGGACAATGGTGGGGACAGTGGGGACAGTGAGACACTGGTGGGGGCACTGGTGGGGACAGCGGGGATAATGGTGGGACCAGTGGGGACAGTGGGAGAGTGGTGGGAAGAGTGGGGAGAGTGGTGGGAACGGTGATGGTGGGGACAGTGGTGTGGGGACACTGGGACAATGGTGGGGACAGCGGGGACAGTGGGACGGTGGTGGGGACAGTGGTGGTGGGGACAGTGGTGAGGGCGGTGGTGATTACGGTGGTGGGACAATGGGACAAAGGTACAGTGGGGACTGTGGTGGGGACCATGGTGGGGACAGTGGTGGGAACAGTGGGACAGCTCAGTGGGACAGCGGCGGGGACAGTGGGACAGTAAGGACAGTGGGACAGTGGTGGGGCTCCTCGCGCAGGGGCGCCTCGATGACGCATGCGCGTGACCGGCCTCGAGCAGCTCAGGCCTGCCGCCGCTCAACGGCACCAGCCAACATCTCTGGCTGCACCCGCGCGTCCCCATGGGAGGAGGCATCGCGTCGGCTGGGCAGAGGTGCAGCCAAACCTCGAGACCAGAGTTGTTCGGGGCGGCCTCGCCAGAACCCCTCCTGGGGCACAAGGCAATGATACGCTGCTGGACTGCCGTGCATCGTGACCACACATATACATACATGCATGCACACATACATACCTAGATATGTAATGTTTGTTGTGTTGCTATTTCCTTCGTTGTTGCTTTTGACGCTGTTCTCTCTTTCTCTCTCTCTCTCTCTCTCTCTCCCCCTCCTCTCTCTCGTCCCCAAATGCATGCTGATACCATGAATTACGGATCCGGGGATCTGGCGTCAGGTCGGGCATGCCCCCCTACAGGCGGATCCTGCAGGAAATGTAAAACATGTTCAAGACCTACTCCAAACAGCAGCAGCACAAAGAATCGAAAGCATCGTCCCCGGACTGTTCGTCACTATCTTGAATGCTCCTCCTGTGGAAGGACACGCCCGACTTAGACTCTGGCGCGCGGGCGCCTCCACGGATCGGGGAACCGGCGGTGGACAAACCCCCCTTTAGTGAACCTCCCTTTCTCCTCCTCCTCCTCCTCCTCCTCCTCCTCCTCCCCTCAGGAAGAGGAGGAGGCAGTGGACCGAAGCCGACGGACCTGGAGCCGCAACAGTGACGGCCGCGACCCCCTCTGGCGAACCGACAACGGCCAATTCGCCGATCGACGTGTCAGGGTAGGGGGTCTGTCCACCTCCGACGCTGGGGGGGAGCGTAGCGTTGGCATGAGAGCTTGAGTATGTCAGCCATCGCCGCCACGAAATTCGTGACATTTTCGTTGCGTCTTGCATTGGGGTGCGATTTCTGTTCTCCGTGCCGACATCATTTGCGGGGGGGCGGGGGCGCTTCGGGGGCCCCCCCAGGCGCTCTGGCGGGGGAGGGCGCGCGAAGAGGAGGAGGGCGCGGGCCGCTCCAGGAAGGGGGCGAAGAAGGGGGGGGGGAGCAAGAACTAGGAGGGGGGGGGGGGGGGCAGCGAGGGCGGCGAGGGCGCCGGAGAGGGGCCCTCTGGGGCCCGAGGTGGGGGCCCTCTGGGGCCCGAGAGGGGGGCAGCGCGGCTCGCGGGCCCCAGGCGCCCCCGGTGGAGGAGGAGAGGTCGCGAAGAGCAGCAGAGGGGCGCAGTCCGCTCTCTGGGCGCTGCTTGACGGGGCGGAACATGTGGGGAGAGGCCCCCGTCCGGGCCCGTGTGGGGCTCCTTTCGAGGGCCCTCAAGGGCTCCTTTTCGGCAGCCCTCGCAACCCCCCCCACTTCTCGCCCCCAGGCGCTCCAGCAGGAGGGCGTGAGGAGCAGGAGTGTATGAGCGCGTGCTCGCCAAGCAGCTGCTCGCAAGTGGCCTGGATCCGCCGCGGGGGGCCCACGATCCAGCACAGCGAGGCGACCACGCGTGTTCCCTGACTCGGCGGTGGACAAACCTCCCTTTAGTACACCTCCCTGTAAGGAAACCGGCCTGGGACCGAAACCGACGGACCTGGACCCGCAAAAATGACGGCCGCGACGCCCTCTCGCGAACCGAAAACGGCCAATTCCTGAATCGACGTGTCAGGGTAGGAGGTCTATCCACCTCCGACTGACGTTCTGCGAGTAGGCACTCTGCGAGCAGCGAAGCGCGCTCGGTGAAGGAGGGCGCAGCCCGCCCTTCAGCGAGGGGCTCGCCCCCGGCTGCCGCTGCAAAGCCTTGGTGACGGCACCTCCGTATGAGGCCATATGCCGCCGTTCCAGGGGCCCGCGCGGGGCAGGTGCCGCATCCCCGTCCGGACGGTAATGGTCCTGCCCTCCTCGGCGGTCACAGAGTCCGGTGCGGCGCTGAATGCAACCAGGACTTGGTTTGTGTCGGACATGTCCTCCTAGAGGCGGATTTCCGAGGCCAAAATAAAAGATAGACAACAAATATTCAAACAGAACGTTCGAGGGTACTGCAAACACGAATAATACTGCCTCGGTCCGACTGTACTCCAACTCCCGCCTCCTCCCACATTCCCATACTTCTCATCTCCCGCCCAACAGGCTGGGGAAGAGAAACGTGGTGGACGAAGACAATATGAAGGGTGAGGATGAGGGGCGGGGCGGGGGGAAGAATCGGATTCACCGACCCCACCGACGAACGGGGGTCAGGTAAAAGGGGTGGGGGGTAACGCATCATGGCCCGAAGCATGCGCCGGGACGAGGGGGCAAATAAAAGGATGCATAGCCAAAACGAGAAAGGGGCCTTGACATCTGCGAGATATCAGGGCCCCTGCCGTAATAGCCACACACCCCACCGCGGGCAACGGCGAAACGGGGAGGTGTGCAGGCGTGGCCGCGAGACACTCGCGTGGTACCCAGCCCTGACAGGCCACGCGCGCTTGGTGCAAGTGCAGAGCACCCCGAACGCAGCATTTTCGCAACGCCTCAGGATGTAGTCAGCTCGCGCCGCGCGGCCCTGGCGAACAAGATCTGCTCTCTTCATGCGCGTCCCCGCTGTAACCCAGAGGTCCCGTCCTGATGGCTTCAGTACAAGGCCCCCAGAAATCTGGACCCCATATTTGTCGCACCTTTGGACGCTCGAAATGGGTACAGAAATAATGGGTACAATGCCCAACAACAAATGCTGTCCCAAACCAACAGCGGCCGCTGTTGGCCAGGCGGCCTTCTGTCTCGGGGGGACACGGGCCGCGGCGGCGTGGACAACGAGTCCTGTTCAAAATGACCAAGATCCGCTGTTGGGCATTGCACCCACTCTTTCCGTGCCCGTTTCGTTTGCGCAGAGTCCCGAGTCGTGTCTGGAGCGGTCCCAAGGCCTGGCGAGGGAGTCCTGTTGCCAAATATGAAATGACAACAAATACAATCACAAGCACTTGTGATGTCTTTCAACTCGTGGGATGTCTGGGATCAGGGAGGAGGTGGAGGCGGCCCAGGGGTCTGACCTGGTCGGGGCCCCAACAGATCGGTCAGGAGGCGGGGAGGAGCCAAATTCCAGTGAAAATCGGTCCCCGAACCCTTCCCGGAATCTGTTCTCGACGGTCCCCAAGCCCAAAACTGGAGGGCGGCACAAACACACAACCGTCTCGAACTCAGAATCGCGCATCTCGCCCCTTCTGTCTGCGTGTCGGCACCAGTTCCGGGCCACCTCAGACCTCCAGCCAGCTCCAGGGGAGAAGAGAGAGAGAGAGAGAGACCAAGCATGAGTACGTCCAATTCGCCCGCACGCAAACGCTTAGAACAGGAGAAGATTGGAGGGGAGGGACCAACCACCGAGCCGCTATCGCGGCGGCCTGCCCTCCCGCATCCTCTTGCTACGGTACTTCTGCACACCTAGGGTTGTGGATGCCACAACAATAGACACCCTAACACACCAACATGTGTTTAAACTGTAGGAAAATAGCATGAACATGGTTTAAACATGTTTTTCATATTTAAATGAGTTTTAATGCATGTCCTAGACATCTGGAAATTATTTGGCAACATGCTTCCTCTCCATTGATCGTCCTCCACAAACATAGGGTTGGGGGGGTGATCCAGGGGAGGAGGACCACAGGAGGAGGACCAGAAAAGGGGGCGAAGATGGGGGGGGGGGGGGCGCACGAGCTGCAGACGCCGGTCGGGGCGGGCGTGCTGCGCAAAAGCTCCTGCTTAGAAGACGGACAAACTGTAAAAACTTACACTTTTGTAAAGGAGCCCATGGACACACAAACAGATACACACAAATCCCAGGATTCCCAACATGCTCCTATCTTTTCTGGGTGTTTCCCCACTTTCCATATGTTCCCATATTTTCGGGGCAATCGACGATTAATTAATTACTTCTGTGTTTTTCCCCTCCTGATAGCAGACGGAACACACTGCATAAACATACACTTTTGGCGCTCCGCGCGGACCTCCTGGATTTGCGCTGGACCCCCCTCTCTGGCGCGCGGAGAGCGCCAGGGGCGGCGCCGGAAGCGCCGCCAGGGGGCCCGAGCGCGGGTCCAAGATATCCGCGCGGAGCGCCAAAAGTTTGTGTGTATGGCGCTTGTCCCATTTCTCGATTGCTGCGGGCGCTCCGCCGCCTGAACACGGGCTCGCCGCCGCAGAGCCACAGGGTGTTGGCCGGGTAGAACGGGGTCCCCCTGGCGGCCGAGCCCCCTCCGCCCCAAGAGTTTTTTCGCAGGGATCAACCGTCGCGGGATTCCATTCCTATAAGCGTACCACGACACGTGAACCCAGAAATGTTCTAACGAAAAAACAATGTTCCCAGAACATAAACCCGAGGTGTCAAAGCAAGACATTCTCAGACAAACAGTCTAGAGCATTCTTTGGTGGGACTACAGGCGAACCAGAACGCTTCGCCACTGCTTGGAGCTTCGCGCCGCGAGCACGCCCGCGACGGGCCCGGCCTGCCCCCGACCCCCGCCATGCAGGGTCACGCCACGACTCGCGCGAGCGCTGCCTGGGAAGAAGGCAGGCATTCTGTGGCTTTCCCAGACGGCGGCGGCGCAAATCGTGACGTGACCGGACCCCTCCCCCCTGCGACCTCCCCCCTGCTCACTGCCGTGATCGCCGGGGGATCGAAAGCTCTCCCCTGAGAGATAGCGAAAGGGGCGGTCTGTCTCAGGTGATCGGGAGGGTCCGTCAGGCCCGATGAAGGCGCCACGAAGCTGGATCCAGCCCAGGAGTACGCTGGAATGTAGCGGGCTTGCGCTTGATCGGGCGGCATTGTGCCGGTGGGGCTCGCTTCGACCGCGGGCATACTGGCGCCGCCGATGCTGCGTTTACCTCGCTGGACCCATAGATCCGACGTCGTGATTTTTTCAATACGCGGTCCCCGGAAATATCTACCCATTCCCCAGGACCGGTTTTTCATCCTGCGTCGTTTGTTGACGGTCCCCGAGCCCGGCGAGGGCCTCTAGAGGTCGAAATCGGCGACAAACCTCCGTCTTGTTTTTGTTCAAGACGTTCGATCTTTGGGGAGCTGCATCCCAAGGGAGGGGAAATAATGACCAAAATCGGGGATCTTCTGACCCGGGTCAATCCAGACCCGGGTCAGCAGGAAACAAAAAAACTGCAATGCAAGAAAAAAAAACTGCAACGCAGGTCTTCGCAAACCCGGGTCAGCCAATTTGCGCGGCCGCCTCGCGGCCACGAGCGGCTCGCTGACCCGGGTCAACCAGAGGGGGTCTTCGCAGG